ACTACCTGCCTAACATAGGTGCAGGTGGCTCTGGTGACTCAGTTCCCAGAAGCAGCCTCCTCAGACCCCTGCTTGTGTGGTCTTGTTTCAGTGACTATGTTTCACTTGCTAATCAGGAAAAACAGCACCAGGAAAACAACTGGAAAAGTGAATTCCATTTGGGGAGCAGAATGGGCCCCGGGGCTGTTCTGTGGGCCTGGCTTCAAGCTGCTGCGCCTGGCCCGAAATCAGAGGACCCAGTTCCACCGGGACTATGCTCTTGGGAATCTGATCTCCAGGACCTCCAGGAAGAAAGCGAGGAATCAGGAACGCTTCCCTATGGGAATTTTGCCTGGGCTGCCTCCCCAGGAAAGCACATATTTGTGTAGCACACGTGTTCACAATACATGTGTGTGCTTCTGTGCACGTGTGCATGGGGGGGTCAGGTTTCTCAGACACCGTCCAGGTGCAGGCCTTGCTTGGTCTGGTGCCCTCCACAGCTCACCCTCTGGTGCCCAGCTGGCTCGGGCCCTTGCCTGGCCACAGCCTGCTCCTGCCAGCCGCCAGCCCCAGCCATCTGTTGTGGCAGATGTTTTGGGATGTACCATGGAAACAGCAGAACAGGATGTACCTCTGGATCGCAGCAGGGACGAGTCCACACTCACGGGCCGCCTATGCACCCCCCCACACACAAATGCTCCTTGGGAAGAGCCACCCAGGCCGGAAGTGGGATAATTGGTATTTGTGTCGAGAGGCAGATCCTGTGTCCTCTGTGGGGTCAGAGGCAGAGGAATGGGAGGAGACGTGCACATCCCACGGAGGGCCCCTTCCCCAGGAGCCTGGCTTTGCAGAGATGTTAAGGCGGCAGCGTGGGGAGAGAAGCTGCCCGACAAGAGAGTATAGCCAGGGGGTGGTTGACCATTGTCTTCCTCACCACAACAATGTACTCCTTGAGGGACCGTTTTATGCCAGAGCCTGGTGGTGTAAGTACTTTATGTAATACATAATAGCAAAATTCAGTGGTATTGCTGGGTGAAGTGGTGCTTGCCTGTAATCTCAGCATCCTGGGAGGCTGAGGCAGGAGGATCCCAAGTTTGAGCCCAGTCTGGACAACTTAGCAACTTATAAAGACTAAAAAATCAGGAATGTAGCTCATTGTGAAGGCCTTGGGTTCAATCCCCAGTACTGCCAAGAATTAAAAATTTTAAAATTCGGGGGCATTTACTTTGTGCTCATTACACAGCACTAACTGATTCTGTTTATTGTTGTTTTGAGGCAGGGTCTTGTTAATTTGCCCAGGCTGACCTCAAACTCATGACCCTCCCATGTGCTGGAATTTCAGGCATGTGCTACCACACTGGGCAGAGTGGTCATCTTTATAAGATGGCTGTGGGGTTGTTTTTCAAATGAGTTACAGAGTAATTAAGTCATTTTTCCCAAATGCAAAAGTTAGGGAGCTGGGGCTAGGACTCGTGGCTCATTCCAAAACCCTTCAATGTTGCTGCTGTGTGACACAGTGACTTCAGGGAGGCATGTGTGCCTCTGTGGCTCCGGTAACCTCTGATTATTCTGGGCCTGGAGCTTCATTTCTTTTCTACTTTTCTTTAAGCTTCACTTCTGACCTCTCTGCTTTCTTGCTGATTCCTACAGGGAGATCAAGATGCATTAGGGTTTGCTTTCTCTCCACTTCTAGCTTTGGAAAGGTCTCTGGTTTCATCACTTCCTAGTCATAACCAGAGGCAAATTACTTAAGCTCTTGTGGGCCTGCTCCTTCATCCACAGACTGAGCGCAATTCTGAGAGTCCTGCGCAGGAGTCTGTGGGATTTCTTACGTGAAACGCCTACGAGGCATGAGATCAGTCAGCCCACTGCCTCCATGCATTCCTCCTCTGCCAATTCAACCAATCCCAGACTGGAAATACTGGGGGAGAAAACTGTGTTTGTACTGCATATATACAAACACTTCTTCTTGCCATTATACCCTAAACAATATGGTACAACAACTATTTGCACAGCACTCGCATCGTATCCACTGCTGTAAGGAATCTAGAGATGATTTAAAGTACATGGGAAGATGTGCATAGGTTCTATGCAAACACTACGCCAAATGAGGATGTGCAGATTGTGCTATCCAGAGAGACCCTGGAATGAACTCCATAGATACCAAGGGCTGATGGTATCATTTGTCTCCTTGGCTTAAGGGTGCAAGGGGTAGGTGGTGTTTTCTGGGCAGGACTCACTGTGCGCTGTGGCGATCTCTTAGAGAAAGGGCTTCTCTACAACGACATGACCCTGGCCGAAATCCCACATCACCCTCCACACTGCCTCTGGAGCGCTTCCACCCATCTTGCCCACAGGAGGTCTCCCAGGTTTAACTAGGCCTGTGGACGCACCCTTCAGAGCCACCCCATCGTAGGTGACATCGGGGATTATGCCCAATGGACAGTCACTTTGAGGATAAAATTAGGGTAACAGCAGGCAGGTATAGGCACAAGCTCCTAGGATCCCTGAATAAATATCTGCCGAGCTGGGAAGTCCCATATTCTGTGAGGGATGTGGGTGCTGCTATGTATGGGATGTGATTGCAACCAGCGAAGTGTAAGCCTACTTCATTGCGTCACATTCTTATTTCTCTGGTTTCTAAACCAGGCCATCAGAGTCCCCAGGGGATCTACCAGAAACATACAGAACGGTGGACCCTATCCCCAGGCCGGATTCATGCGTGCAACTCAGTTGATATCTTTAGCCTTGCCAAGAAGAGTTCCTGACCCATGCATGACCCTCAGTGTCTGTTTTAAAAACATCCTACAGAGCTGGCATGGTGGCACAGGCCTGCAAACCCAGGACTTGGGAGGGTGAGGCAGGAGGCTCAGCCTGGGCTACACAGAGCTCAAGGCCAGGCTGAACTATATGTCAAGACCATGTCCCAAAAATCAAAAACCAGGTAAGTGCTAGGCTACAGTTTCAGAGTACTGTTACACTTATCCTACTGATCTTCTGCTGTAATTTCATATTTAATAATTCCTTGCCCAAAATTGGCTTCACATATGTATTTACCTAAGACTGTTTGATAGTTGGTTGTAATGGTTATAAGGTAATAAACTTACATTCTGGTTTATTCATCAGTCTCTTGTAAGTTCAGCTGAGAGACAGTCAAGATGAACTCAAGAGTACTTTTTGGACCCGTGGACAATGGAATTTAGTGGTTCTGCTCCAGTACTTGAGTCACACAGCCAGTGCTCTTGAAACCCTGAGTCTAGCGTACCTGGCTGTTAGGCTGGGATCGTGTAACTTATGGTCCACTGGAATTTGAGAAGTGATGTACTGAACCAAAGGCAGTAAGAGTGAAAAACACCCCTCCCTCTCTCCCCCACAACTCCCAGGACTAGAGAAACTGAACCCAGTGTCTTTATGCTTGGCTGTATCTCAACTTTTTTTTTTTTTTCAAGGCGGGGTTCCTAAATTGTTCATGCTGGGCTTGAACTTATAATCTTCCTGTCTCAGCCACCCAGAGCACTAGTATTATATACGTACCACCAGTCAGCTAAGGTGGCAGAACTTTAAAATGAAGGTAGCCTGGCTTCCTGGTCACAAGTGCTATGGTTTGGGTTTTGTGGGTTTTTGTTTTGCTTTCTTTTGTCTTTTTTTTTTTTTTTTTTTTGAGACAGGGTCTCACTATGTATTTCAGGCTGGCCCTGAGCTCACTATGTATATGAAGTGTAGTCCAGGCCACACAAAGTGTACATTATTTTGGGGGCACTGGGGATTGAACCCAGGGTCTTATACATGCTAAACAAGTGCTCTACCGCTGAGCCACATCCCCAGCCTGTATAGTTTGGATCATAAATGTCCCCCAAGCCCTCGTGTTGAAGGCTTGGTCCCCAGCTGCCGGCACTGTTGGGAGATGGGGCCTCCCATGAAGAAGTCAGATCACAGGAGGCGAGGCCTTTGGGGCATACAGGGACTGCAACTCTTTCCTGAGTCTCTTGCTTCCTAGCTACGAGGTGAGCAGTTTTCTTCTGCTGTGTGCTTCTGATGTGCTCTTTGCTACAGAAACAAAAGCACCTGGGCCAGCCAATGATAGACTGAAATCTCTGAAGCCACAAGCTGAAAGGATCTTTCCTCTTCACAGCTGCTCATCTCAGGAATCGTCATGGCAATGGGAGGCTAACACAGTGCTTCCAAAAGCTTCCTGGTATGACATGAGCATGAGACAAGCCTTGGCTGTGCTCGGTGACAGACTTCCTGGGCTCCCTGCCTTGGTGAGCAGACATAAGCACCCCAGGTCTCTTGGTCTCTAGGTGCAGCAGGAGTAGCTGGTCCTCCCGAGCAGGCCTCGGGCGCTGCAATGGCTACCTGGACTTGAAGAAAAGATACCCAAAGTCCAGGTCCTATCTTCTTGCACACTTGGGTACTTTTTTGGTGTACAAATGACCACCCACAACATCAGGAAGGAAAACAACTCATCCTGGGAGAAGTTAACACTTCTTCCTTTGTTATTTCTTTGGCCTAACCCATCCAAACTTTTGAGCTTAGAACTTAGCACATAGTAGGTTCTCAGTAAAGATGATGAGATGTATTGGACTTGTCTTGGCAAGGGCCAGAGGCAGATTCTTCTTGTACAAAGTTAGTCATTGAGTGTTTATAAAGAAAAAGTTTATTTTCATCACAAGAAGCACACAGACTATATACAATACAAACCAAAAGAAGTAAAAAAAAAAAAGTGCATTATGCATCTTCTACTGCAAGTTCACAGTATAAAAGATACTGCCTTTAAATACATAATATAAAAAAGAAAACAATTTTAAAAAAATCACGACATCGTAATGCAACACATGGGAACCCACCTGTAGCTTGTGAAAAACCAGAGTAAGCTGTCTGGTGGAGTTCCTAATTGGGGTATGGGGAGTGAGCTGTACCTATATTCTGTTGCAAAAGAGCTCAGGACACTAACAGAGAAGAAAAATAGGATAGCCTAGGTGGTGATTTATCTCTATTGAACAATAGTACAAATTGTGTGATGGGTGACAGGTGAGGTGCGGGGCACCAGGCCTGCACCACTCCCCAGTTGGATGGGAAACCAAACTGCGTTTTTTCATTGGCTACCAAGGGATGCCGTGTAGGGCAATGGTGGCCTGGCCTGCAGGAACAACCAGTGCTGTGTCTAGAGGCTCCTTGGAGTAGTTGTGGACACACAAGGTCAAACTGCATAGCAGAATCAACACAAGTAAGGAGAAGGACAAACTCAAGCCCTAATACCAACCACTGTGGAGAAGACAAAGTCCCCAATCTCTGAAGATGTTTTACAGTTTTGCATAAATACACAGTATTTGTAAACTATTATTAAGGCACTCGATTGTAAAACAATAATTTCAGTGTAGGAAAGAAGGAGGAGCAGCTATCTTCTCATGCAGCAAGTCCCAGATCAGGGCAGCAAAGGCTGGGCTGTCTGATTAAAAAGACACCACGTTCACAGAGGGGTTGAAGGATGGAGGTGCAGCCCGACTACCAAATAGGAACAGGTCAGCCATGGGACTTCAGATGGACCTGGGGCCTGCACTGGGCAGTGTCCCTCCAGACGGGTCTAGGGGATGGATTCCTTTGTAGCTTGGGGGACACAGCACGAGTGTGGATGACAAAAATGAAGCACATGATAATTTGATTCAAGTTGTGTATACTCAAAATATATATAATGCATATAATAAAATGTATATATGCATATATACATACATACACGCAGAGTGGACACGTTCAACATAGAGCACACAGGAACAAAGTAAGTGGCTGTGCACAGGAGTAAATGAATGACCTTCATTTAGCCTTTACTGTTAGCAGGAAGGTGGAAAGTAGAACCAGGACAAGTGAGCTGACTTTGCGCTGTCCAGAAGTCACCAAGCTCTTGATCTACACAGCTCTCTTACCAAAGGTGAAATGGTTGCCCTCCAGTTTGGGCGTTGGGGCAGCTGCCAGTTGGCCAGCTAACTAGCAGGGTTGGGTGAATGACTTCTGGTACCAAGAATTTTTAGCTAACAGAAAGCGATTCCCCTCCCTTCTGGTGCCTTGGGTTAAGTTACCTAATATGATCTTAACCAAACGCTGCAGTATTTGTTCCTGCAGGGGAAACAGTCCTGGGGAGTTCACAGCCTTGGGCCCTGAGACAAGTTGCAGAAGTACTGTACAAGACTGCCCTGAAGGTCTCTTCTATTCATGAGCAAGTCCATGTATGGCGTCCTCTGGGCTATGACAGAATCGGAGGGCTTCAGAATTGACTGGAATACTTTGGAGCTGCAGAGAGTGGGTACAGCAGGTGGAGAAGAATGGGGTGCGGACACTGCAGCCTCTGCGTACCCAGTGAGTAACATACACTACTGAGCAACAGGGCGCAGTGGAGAAGGCCTGCTACCCCACAGTGAGCTGCTCCAGAAGCAGGGGTCCTGCACAGGGCATGAGGAGGAAGGGGATGCACAGAGAAAGAATCTGCGTGCTTACAAAGTTCGTGCAACGAGGGACATTGCTAGAGATCGCTGAAATAACTGTAAGAGGAAGAAATGGAACTAGGCACTGTCAAGATTTTGGTCAGAGGGCAGCCTGGTCTTTCCTCTCTGTGATCAGTTTCCCCCTTATGCTTAACAAAACCTGACAAGATGACCTTCTGTATCAATGCAAGACAAGGCTGTAGCCAAGTTCAGTCTAACTCCTGGCAGGCTGTATCAATCAAGGCAGGTAGGAAGATGAAAAGCAGCCCAATACCCAGGGTGTCAGGCAGATCACAAAATGTTCCTTTTCCCTTAAATCAACAAAGGCATCAATGAGGATGGCAGTTGCCAAAATCAATGACAGTCTCATGCATTCTCTGGAATTTTCCCTGTCACCTAAAGTTCCATACAAAGCAGCAGCCAAGCTATGGCACAGCTTAAGGAACAAACCTTTTCCTCGTGATGACCAGTATGACTCTGTCACTGCCGAAGTGCTGCGAGATGAGCAGGATGCTTTTGCCTCGCAATGTGACACTTTAAAATTGCCGTATGTTTACAGGAAATGGATCCCAGTCTCCAAGAACAATCTTCCTCTTCTCCTTTGGGTCAGAGTGCGAACCATCAATAAATCAAGAAAGTTTCATCTGTTCTGGCGATGGGGACCGGTGCCCTGGTCTGCTTGGATGTTGGCAGATATCTAGCTGTGCTTCTAAAATGGAATGGGGACGGTCGCCAAAGACCTGTTTATATTTATCATCTTCCTCACCCCCACTCTATAACTGAGCAAGACAAAGTTTACCTTTCAAAATTAACGTTTTCAAAAATATAGCACTCTACACAAATGTGTTGAAAACGTCAACAGAAGCCTATCATCAAATTTAAAAGATTTTGACACAAAAATTGATCTACATGAAATTTAATTTGGCAAAACATAAATGAACTTGGTAAGTTTCTTGAAAATACACTTTTGTTGGTTGAGGAAGAGGGGATATCCCACAGGGTTTCAGGAGTAAGCAGATAAAATCCCCTTTTAAGGTGATTTAAATTAACACTAGTGTGAAGACAAATTCCTATAAAATAAAGTAACGTATTTTTTAAAAATCATGCCAGCAGGCCAGGGATTTGGCTCAGTGGTTCTGCCACTTGCAGGAGGGCCCCAGTTTGATCCCTGGTACAAAAAAAAATCATGCCAGGGAGAAAAAATTCTTGAAGATGGTGTTTGCCCAAGCTCTCTGCACTAGCTGAAACAGGCACTAGCCTTCTTTCTGAAGACCCTGCCTGAGGGCTCTCTTAAAACAGCTGCTTTGGGGGCCCAGTTCTGGCCAATGGAAGATGGCAACTCATTCGTCTGCTTTCCAAACTTGGCTGAGCCCTGGAGACTTTCTGGTTTCACTGAGCTAATCGGGCTGATCCAGCTGAGGGCAAGACGGAACTGTGGGCAAGCTTCTGTGTTCTCACGTATGTGCCCAAGGAGGGGTCGGCAAGGCTGGGTTGTGGGGGGGTTGGCCCAAGGTATCCATGAGACACAGGAGGCCTTTGAAATTGCCTTCTTTCTGCAGGACCAGAGGCAGCAAAGGTCTATAAAGGGCCTGTCCATAAATTCTAAGGCTTTGCATGGACTCTGTCCTGTATTATTTTACTTTCTTATAACTCTTTAAAAATGTAAACACCATTCTTAGACCACAGGGGCTGTACACCATAGTTTGCAGAGCCCCGAATCAAGCCCTGCTGCCTTTCTACAGAGCTGCTTCTTTCTTCAAACTATCTTACACCCAGCCTTGCTGACAGACACGAGGTGAGCCCCAAGCTGCAAGCGACCCTGAGCTTACCTGGTTCTTCAAGGTGCTACCCAGAGCCGAGGCTTAGGCTCCAGCTCCTCCGCTGCATCACTGCCGCTGGGGAGAGCTGCAGAGATAGGAAGCTGTAAGCATCTGCGAAGCTGTTCATCAGTCTCATTTCGCTCAGAGAAGATGTTCAGCGTGGCTCCTGGAGTAGGGTCCTGCCAAAATCCCTTTTGCCTTTCAAACAGTTGATGGGACCTAGTGCGCCTGAGGATCAGGGCTTCTGGCAGGACAATCCAATCCCAGAGCCACCACTCCACTGCTCCTCAAACCTAAATACAACCACACCCTGTACAGCAGCAGATTTGGTCGACCCCTACTAGGCGTGCAATATGCTTCTCCATTAGCAACAACTGAGAACATCACATATATTTCCTCCATCTGGCTTGGGTGCTGGTCTAAAGCTCGTCGCCCAGTCACAACAGAAACCGGGCAGAAGACTAACTGAACAGGCAACCAACTGCCTCTTAGCACAGCACAAGTTTAACAAGGCTGGATGTATCTGTCTGCTGACTTTACCTAGCAGTGATCTGCTTGGTGCAGTCAAGCTGAACGTCTTGACACTTTTGGGGTTCTAACAAAACAAACAAAAAAATCTTTTGTTTGGAAAAACTTTTTCTGACACAGCATTATTCCCTGGAACAAGCCTTGGTCATTATGTATTTTAAAAACAAAGAGCATAGCAAGAACAGAGGTAGGACTCATGTTGCCATCCCAGAGTTTTCCTAAGAGGCTGGAATGAAATGTGGGCTGTGGCGATGATGTCACCACTATGACTCTTTTGCATGTTGCAAATGGAGTGTTCTGGATGTGTGCCTATCTGTATGTGTTAATACATGATTCTTCTCAAAAACAGGACAGGGTGTGTGTCTACCAGCTGACAGTTCCTGGATCTCCCAGGCCACACACTGGTACTTCTCCCTTCTTCTTGTGCTGCAAATTATTTTTGTTTCTTCTCCTCCTATGGCAAGAGGGAGAAAAGCTTGGGTGACTTTGGTTGTTGAAGACAAATCAAGATGTGAGGGATGGATTAGAATCCACAGTGAAACTAAGGGAGGGACTGTATGAAAATGTAAATCCAGTGAAGCAGAGGGAGGGTCAGCTTTTGCTCATCAGGGGGCTTTTCAAGTTTTCCAGGGCAGATTTCCCTGATGGGTTGGAGGTTGCAGCTGGGTTCCTTTGGGAGGCCTGGGGTTTGTTCAAGAAGAAAGATTTGCTGCACTTGGCATCCTGGGAGTCGGCGGTAGTAGACGCATCGGCCTCACTAGACAGATCTTCTGTTGAAAAGTTGAGGCTTCCCAGCTTGGCAAGAGAGTGGGAGCGCTTGAGTGGGGAGGAGACAGTGAGGCCTGCCAGGCGGAGCCGGGTCTCAATCTCCTGGGTCCTCTGCTTCACCAGACCTGGCTTCCCGCGGACACTGTGGATGCTGTCACTGCTGGAGCTCCGAGTCAGGTTGGAGCTCATGGAGGAGGAGGTGGGGGTGTAGCAGATGGTCTTCAGGAAGTCTTTGGAGAAGTTACTGGTATGGTCCGGGCGAGAGAGGAAGGGAGGGGGGCTCTTCAGCAAGGCTCCTTCCAATGGCAGAGGTAGCGGGGCGGCCTCTAATTTCTCATCACCCCCTGCCTGGCCAGGCAGAGCTGGGGGCTGTGGCTCCTGGAGCGCGGCCAGCTCCTGGCTCTCCTCGGGGATGCTGGCCTCCAGCCTGCTGGTGGCACCATCCCTGGAGGCAAACGCAATGTCTGCGGGCAGCTTCCTCAGCCTCTCCAGCTCTTTGGTGTGCTTGCGGACCAGACCTGCCTTCTGCAGCTGGATGATGGACTCCTGGTGCTGCATCAGGTAGCTGTTAGTTGTTGGTTTCTCAGACTCATTACTGAACAGAAGCCTCAGGTCCTTAGCTGGCTTCAGCTCCTTCTTGGGTGACAAGTCTTCCTTCACTTCCATGCTGGAAGAGTTCTTGTCACAGTGAGAATTCTTCAACAGGAGCGACTTGGGCAGGACTTTCGGAGTCTCTCTGGAAGGTTCTGGGAAGCTAGGTGGTGGCTCTGGTGCAGCCCCAGCTACACTGCCACTGCTCTCTGGTCTCCTTGAGGCTGCTGGTGACAGCAGTGGGGGCATGTCGGCTGAGCCAGAGGCTGGCTTCTCCAGAGTGCGGGACCTGCTGGACATGTGGGCCACAGGGGAAGATGTGATGTGAGGCAGGAAGGCTGGCTGGGTGCAAATGGCAGGAACGCTGGGGTCCTCACTTTTCTCCCTGAAGGCCTCAGTAGCCCTGCTGGCTGTAGGATACATGCAATCAGTGCAGGATTTGTAAGAAGGCTTGACTTTGGTGAGAATTCCAAACATGGCATCATGCTGGAAAGGGGCAAGAACACAGGGAGACAGTATACCCATAAGCCAATGACAAAAAACATGGGGGGCAAGGAATGAGCACGGTGTGCAGCTGGGGATAGGAGCTTTCCTTTAATTGTTTCTGAAAGAGTGACCTGTTGGAGCCCACCTGAACATGCACAGTACAGGTTGGAGAGGACTAAGAAATACTGAACCAAATTTCCCAGAAGCCAAGACTCGGGATCCCAGGCAAACCTTTTTGGTATAAGGTCAGTATGGTCAGGGTAGGGCCTCCCAGGACCTCGTCAACCTGTCTCTGCCATGTGCGCAGGGTGACCCTGCTCCAGGCTCATCTGGAAAGCAATGGAACCCCTATAGATCACAGCACTAGAAGAAAGAAATGAGAGCATTCGGTCAGCAGCAGAGACAGGGGGCCTCTCTGGCAGGAAGGATCTGCACTGCAGTGTCTACAGCCTAAAAACAGATACCTTCCTACCCAGTATGAACACAGCATGGCTCCAGAACCATCACCCAGCTGTGGTCTCCACAAAAGAGGTGGCGAAGGACGACTTGCTTCTGGGAAGAGTCTGCTGGAGGGCTAAACACAGGGGCTTACAGGCCTGGACCAGAGGGCCAGGTCGGGCCGGGGCTTACAGTAGTCGAAACACACTTGCCTTGTTTCCCAAAGAAACCCCTGCCTTCTGTCACCAGGGTCCGAGTGGATGGGACAGGGGTTGACACCCCTGGCCTTCTGCCAGATAGGAAACCCCTCAGGGCCTTGCGGGCCAATTGGCAGGTGGAGAGTGATGGAGGGGAGACTGTCAAAGGGTAGGCAAGGGGAGATGACTGAGAGTTATCTACCTGTGTGATTCTGGAGCTGGTCTGGAATGATGCCTTCCAGGCCAAGGGCCAACGGAGGCTTCTCAGAATATTCCCTGCAAGGGGAACCCCATTCCTTGACCCCCAGGGATTAACATCATCCTATGTCAGTGACTCGAGTCTCCCCAGGAGTCCAAAGGACACTTGTCCTTATCCCGGGAGGCTGCAGGGGAAGGTGGGGGTGGGCTTAGGTGCATGCATGGTGGTGGGAGTGGGGTCTTCTGGAGAATCTTTTCCCGCTCAGGAACACTGGCCCCAGCCTCCGGGTTCTCTAATCAGACCTCAGTCTTATTTAATCAATGGAACCCTAATAAGGCCTGAAGTCTCAACATAGAAATTTTTCTTAAGCTCTAACCAAAATCCTTCATATTTGATTCTTCTAAAACTTGAGCTGAAATTGAGCACAGTATGGCTCTGAGTGCACCCAGAGAATTCCTTCACCCCAGCCAGATTCATAGTGTGCCTGCTCAGAACCAGGACTGCACCAGGTGCTGGGTCTAAGACATCACCTAACCTCCAGGGGATGTCTGCTGCCCCCTGGTGGGAACAGGTCAGAAAGCTGTGTAAGAAGTACGCTCAGCATTTTGGGAGGCTGACAGGAGGATGGAAAGGTCAGCATCAGCCTGTACAGCTTACCAACTCTGCCTCAAAATAAAAAATAAAAAGGGTTGGGGATGTAGATAGTGCAAAGGCCCTTTTCAACCTCTCTTACAAAAGCAAAACAAAAACAAAAAAAGGGCTGGAGATACAGCTCAGCATGAAGGCTCTGGGTTCGGTCCCGTACTGGGGGAAAAAGTGCTGGTAGAGGGGTTATGCTCAGTCTAGGGAAGGGAGCTCTGTGCAGGGACGGACACCTGTGGGACAGCAAGTGCTGAGTGAGCAGAGGGAGAACAGCACACAGGCTCAGGAGCGGGGGAAGGGCCAGGAACAGAGGGCGGAGTGAGGCAGGAGGCGCGGGGATCACCTCCTCATCCCCATCCCCGGAGCGTCCGCTTCTGTCCTCGCTCCTGCTGTGTCCTGGTCAACTCAGGCTCATGGCCTTCATTCTCACCTCTCTGGTCTCAAAGCCTCCCCGTGCTCCCCAAGGGCTGGGACAAGGCACACAGCTCTCCCAACACGGAGGGAGAACTCACATGCCCCGGCCACCTCTCCAACTGCACTTTTCAGCACTGCCCCTCCATCATGCGTCCAGCTCCCACCTCTCCCACGCCAAGGTCTCTCTGTCCTCAGGGACATGGCACCAGTTGCTCTTAGCCCAGTGCTCTCTCCTTGGCCCTCTCTGCTGCTTCTCTGCCCTGCACTTGCCAGCTCCCGTCACAGTCAGTCTGTCACCGCACAGAGGCCTCACCACAATGGTCTTCCTTGCTACAGCCTCCTGTGTTTGCCCTCCATCTGCCCCAGAAAACTGCACGTGTGGGGCTGACGCACAGCTACCCCTCCCAGCCAGCTTGGTAGAGCATGCTTTATAAATGGAAGCTGGATACAGAAAAGGATGCTTGTCTCTGGGTTCTTTCCCTCAATGCATTCAGCCTAATTCTGGTGGAAAAAGACAGCCTGATACCTTAACCTCTCCTGCCGTCCAAGCCCCTCTCCTGGTCACATCCACTGACTCACAGTCATGCTCCACTGTCCTCACAAAGCAGCTTTATGTCATTGTCTTTATGGGTATTTGCTCTCTGAGGGAAGTGGCAAGTAGTGGGAAAATCCATGAGTAATTATCATCTGGCTTGGAATACATCTTATGACTTGGCGGTCAGTAAATGAACCTTCCAGTTTTGTTTGTACTGTAACGCCACGGTGGTTACAAACTGGCTTCTACTTGAGTGTGCCTGCCATTGTCAGGGCTCTCAGCTGTCCTGCGAAGTAGGCAGAAGAGACCCAGAGGTCATGAAGTTCCTCACCTCAGGCCTTGGTACCAGAGAAGGGGCAGAAGCTGAGACCAGGATGCCCACCACAAAAGCAGCCCCCTGGTCCCAGGCCACTTCCCGATGGTGACAGTGGGAGACAGGAGGTAGCGGTGAGTAAGCACAGACTGACACTGAACTTGCTGCAGACTGTCCACACAGTATGATAGCTACAGCGATGACTCTAAATTGGAAGACGAGATACTCAGTAACACTGAGGAATTACTGTTTTTTAAAAGGGTGGTAACGGTCCTGTCATGTTTCATACTGGGGTACTTGGGAACAGAATGCAACCTCTGGGATTTGTGGCCAAGTAGTCCCAGGTGAGGGGAAGTGGGAGGGGAAACACTGACACTGGTTCAAGTCAGGTGTTACATACTTCACATCATGCATAAGAAAAAAGAAAGGGAGCCGGAAGCCTTACCCAAGAGAGGAGTAAGGGTGTCGGTGAAGACAGTATGTTGGGGTTCGGTTTATTCCCCACAGACCTTATCAGCCCACACAGCCCCTCTGGGGGGCAGGGGGCTGGAGATGGCAGCCCTGGCTCAGCAGTGGCAGGGAGGCAACGTGACGTCAGGCCTACCTCAAAGTCATCTGGGCAGCTCCTCTTGCTGTTGTTGTTATTGAGGTTTTCCCGGTTGAGTGGGCTTCTGTCAGGCTGGGTTGGGGACTGTGTCCACCTCCCTGATCTTGGGCTCTCTTCTCTTTCCATCTCCTCCACCTGTGGCGGGGAGCCACTGTGGGCTCTGGGGCTCCCAAACTCGAGTCTCTTCTTCACGTCCTTCTCACAGAGTCCAGCACCTTCCTGGGCTCGCCTGGCCAGCTTGAGCACCTCTGCTGGCTGAGCCGCATCCTCCAACAGAGCATCCTTCTCAAGGTCCTGCAGGTGGACCAGGCTGCCCGGGTCATGGTCGGGGGAAGGGAGGAGGGGGTCCGAGAGTCTCCGGAAACAGCAGGGGAGAGTGGCCCCTCCCGGGGCTGGACTTCCTGGAAGCCCAGGGTGGGAAGCATCACCCGAGCAGGGTGGCCGGGCATCTGGGGAGCTGTCCAGGGTCTCTGGCAAGAAGTCACTGGGCTCCGCTGGATCATCCACAGGTGGCTGGAGGCTGCTCTCTGTGTGCTGGCGCCAGAGTTTGTTGTGCCGCTGTTTGCTGCGGGAATAAAGGGAGAAGAAGTGAGTGAGGAGGGACAGCACCAGAGGATCCCAGCAGGAGAACATGTGGGGAAAGAGGGGAGAGCAAGCCAGGGACAGCCCGAAGTCAGGTGGAAGCCAGGCCCCACTATGGCTCTCTTGGTTCACTTGTTTCCAAGCACATGTGAATAGGAAGAAACAAACACTAGGCCCCTAAATCATGGCTTGCACAGAAGCTTAGCATGATTTTTTTCTTTCTTTCTTTCTTTCTTTTTTTTTTTTTTTTTGCGTGACTGAATCAAACCCAGTCCCTTCACACTGGGTTATATCCCTGGACCTTTAATTTTTCTTTTTTTAAATTTTAAGACAGGGTCTTGCTCTCTTGCCTCAGATGGGCTCAAACTTATGATCCTCCTATCTCAGCCTCCCAGAGTGCTATTAGCATTATTTTTCTTTCTTTCTTTATTTTTTTTTTTTTTTTTTTGTGCGTGACTGAATCAAACCCAGTCCCTTCACACTGGGTTATATCCCTGGACCTTTAATTTTTCTTTTTTTAAATTTTAAGACAGGGTCTTGCTCTCTTGCCTCAGATGGGCTCAAACTTATGATCCTCCTATCTCAGCCTCCCAGAGTGCTAGGATTACACCTGTGTACCTCCATGTCCAGCTGTGAAAGACTTGAGTGATTGCAGCTATGCTGAGAGTTGTGATTTGTGGTATGGATCTCAATATTTGGCCCTGTCTCATTGTGAACTTAATCACATTACTGATATTCCTCTCTCAATTGTTCCATCAGTCATGTGAGAATAATGATCCTCTCCTACCTATTCTACAGGGAAATTAAACTGATCCAAGCAGAAAGCACGCTAGGTGTAGTGGCACACGCCTATAATCCCAGCACTTATGAGGCTGAGGTAGGAGGATTGCTATGAGTTCGAGGCTTGCCTTTGCTACAGTGAGTGCAGCAAGACCCTGTCTCTCCCTCTTCCTGTTTCTCTGCCTCTACACACACACACACACACACACACACACACACACACACACACACAAAGCAGAGAGCATGCAAAGATCTATACATTATACTAATGTAATAAATTTGGAAGAGCCCAGAAAAATTTAAATATTTCTTTAGATCTGAGAGGTAGTAGGTCAGCTTTTTTTCCTTTTCTGGTTTGAACTCAGGACCTTGCATTTGCCAGGCAGGTGTGGCACAATGAGCTAAATCCCTGGCCCCAGGTCAGCTTTAAATGCTTTCTTCTTGTATTATTTTTTTCCCTCAGTTCTTGGAAATGAGCCTAGAGTTTCATCCATGCTAGGCAGTGGCTCTGTTGATAAATTATACCCAGGCTCTATAGTATTATTTTCATAATACCTTCTTTTTTCAGTACTGAGCATTGAACCCAGGGTCTTCTCATTGAACTATATCCCCATCCGTTTTTCAAATTTATTTTTGGGATAGGATTTTGCTACATAAGTTTGGTATTCTCCTGCCTCAGCCTCCCATGGTTTCTTTTCTTTTTTTTTGGTAGCAGGGAATGAACCTACTTGTGAGGTAGGCGGTGGAACCACTGAGCTAAATCCCCAGCCTTCAGCCTCCCACGGTACTTGAATTACAGATGTGTTCTACCACTCCCAGTTTCATAATATATTTTTTAAATGTAGTGAAAATAAAAGAGAGAGAGGGATGGAAGGACAAAGGGGAGAGACAGGAATAGGGAGGGGGAGGAGGGGCAAGGGGAGGGAGCAACCAGTGATATAAGGTAGCTTAAGTTACCCCTGAACCTCAGAGTAACAGCAGCTGGTGGAAGTGGGAGGATTGAGACGAGTAGTGCACCAGCAGTGTGAGTTACGAATGTGCTGTTGTTCCCGTGCAAGGGAGCATCACAATCACTTATTACTGTGTGCGCCAAGTGACACTGTCCATGGGGCTGTGACTCGAGGACACAGTGCTGTGCTGCTATGAACCTGGCCCAGAGAGCCGTGGTCAGACAGACAGCAAGCGGCTGACAGGCGAAGGGCGAGAGCAGGATGCACGCTGGCCACCTCCTCCAGCCCTGCCTGGGACCTGAAGCAGCCATTCTCCGAGTGACAGTGGAGTCCAGAGATGTTTGGGGCTGTTCTCTGGACCCTGTTCCTTGTGGCCAGGGCACTCCTGCTTTCCCAAACTTGGCCAAGAAACTGGTGCACTTAGCCTCTGGCTTCCTTCCAAATGGGGTCAGAAATAACCCAAGGCAGGCCTGCTTCTCCTACAGGCTGAACGGGATGGCAAGAGGGAGAGAAAGTATCCCCAGCTACAGGCCCCTTGGAGCGCCTGGAGTACTGTGGCTGCAGTGGGGACCCGGCTGGCACCAGGAGGGGCTCCCACCAGGGCATCCTCAGTGGTGGCCTCCCCTGCCAAGTGGGCTGACACCTGAGCGAGCAAGCATCATCTCCGTTCTGCCGTCCACTGAGGGTTGTGTGACGTGGGACGTGGCAACAGCTATCCACCTTGTAAAGGTGGGAAGGGCTGCACTTTGCAGACCTTTTTGGGATGGGATTTAAGTGATTTCAGCAGCTATATTTACTGACTACTTACTAGGGGTCAGCTGGCAAAGCATCTGTAAAGGTAAACTTGTCTGGTGCTTATGCAAATCGCAAAACAGCCCTCTTAGGTGGGTGCTGACTTAGCTTTTCCCTGTGGTCAGATACACATACCTCTCTTGCCAGAGCACAGGTCAGCAGTATTAAATACATCCACATGCTGTACAGCCCTTGTGGAAATGTGGTTCCAATTTATTCTCTTTTCAGTACTGGGGATTGAATCTAGGGCTTTAGCACTGAGCTACATACCCTGTCCTTATTATTTATTATTTTGAGAGAGTGTCTTATATTAAGTCACTAAGTTGCCCAGGATGGATTCCTCCTGCCTCTGCCTCCCAGAGTGCTGGGATTACAAGCATGCACCATGATACCTGGCTCTCTAATTTACCTCACAAAGCTAAAACTATGTACCCCTGGCATGTTGCCCCTGGCAATAATATTTTCTGATTCTTGAATCTGACAACTCTGGGAATGTAAGTGAGGTTCCACAGTATTTGTTTTCTTGTTAGTGGATAATCCAGGTTATAGTATATGACAGAATTTCCTTCATTTTTTTTTTTAAGAGTTAGGGGTCTCACTGTGTTAGCCAGGCTTGCCTGGAGCTTCTGGGCTCAAAGAACCCTCTTTGTCCTGGTTTCCGAAGGAGCTGGGACTAACAGCATGTGCCATCATGCTTAGCTATGACTTCCTTCCTTTTTAAGGCACAGAAACATTCTATTGTAGGTATGTGCCACCCTTGACCTGGGTGTATAAATGCCTTAGAGTCCCTGCTTTCAATTCTTTTGTATATACACCCAAAAGTGGAAATGCTGGCTCAGCTGGTCACCACCATTCTGTCTTCCATGGTGTCTGCAGCATTTGTCCCTTGGGTGGGTATAAATTCTGCACTTGCAGGAGAGTACTGAGGCTCAGGTGATTTTCCAGCTGATCTGTGGTGGAACCTGGCTGGTTCCTTGGCCTGCCCTGCCATGCAGCCTGTGCACAGGGCTTGGCACAAAGCAGGTGCTCAGGAAATGGGATCACACATGCCCACACCACACACCAGGTCGGGACTTGATGAGGAGTTAGGCACTTTTCCCTTCAGCAGCAAAACAAGCTTTATGTGTGTGCCAACAGAATCAAAACAGATCCCTCCTGGAAACCACTCATCAAAGCCCAAACAATAGTTACTTTTCTCAAACCATCTCCTCTGAAAGAAAGGCTTTTAGCTATAGAAACTGCTGCTGGCTCAACAGGAGCAGGCTGAGATACAGCGGGCAGCCTGGCTGGCTTGGCCACGGGGGCCAGGAGCTGAGTCTGCCAACCCGCCTCTCCAGGCGGGCACCCACCTTGCGTCCAAGATGCCTTCATACTCAGACAGCTGCCTCATAAAGCCTGCGTTGGGCCGTGCGATGCTGCGCTTCTGCTTCACGTAGTTATATGCTTTCTCCAGGGGCCAGCCAAATTCCTTCATCGCATAGGCGATGACCGTGGACGCAGACCGGCTGACACCCATCTTGCAATGGACCAGGCACTTGGAATGGTTCCTCCTGCAAAGGCAGGAGTAGTTCGAAGGGGAAAAGGATTACTAATCTTCAGTAACTGTAGTGTTCAAGCTTTACCAACTGATTTCTTTTTAAAGCCTCACAGTTATCTCCTGGCCCAAATCTTCCTATGTCCTTATGTTTATGGAGCAGATTCCACTCACCCTCTAAAGGAAATAACTTGGCTGTGAAATCAACTAGCAAACAATGGGAAATCAAGATAAATCTGCCCCAGCCTAGCCCAGCTTTGCAGCCTGGCTTCAGTGGGAATCCTCCCAGTCACTGGAAAGGTTACAACCCTTTCTTGGGCAGCAACTAGGCAACTAAAGGGATTTTCACAAAAGCTGCTCAGTGGCTACAGCAGATGGAGACACTGAATAAGCTATGTAGAAAACAGGGCCACTGAAGCAAATGTGCACAGTCCTGGGGTGACCAAGGTGCTTGCTTGCAGCAGGTCCCAGGGGCAAGAGCCAGAATGGCAGCAGCCCTGGCTCAGCCACAACAGAAAGAGGCCCGGGAGCACGGGCTAATTTGCTACCTGGGAGGAGGTAGTACTGGCCAGGCACAATGACTCCACAAACAGTAAATGCAAGGGAGCCCCAGGCTGCACCCCAGAATTTGTACTGGTCCGGGAGGACGCCCCAACAGGTGGGAGCAAGTGCCAGGCCCCTATACCTGAGGCTGGCAATTCCTCCCCCAAGTGCTGTGCTTCCCGCCCTCTCCCCTGCTGAAGTTTCCATCAACACGGCCCTGAGTATATGCCTCAGGAAAGCCGGAGAACAACATGAGATTTTGGTAAGCACACACCATGTGGCTTTGACCTAGAGAATACAAAGGAAGGTGTTTCTCTTGATAGCAATTAAAGGGTTATCACGTGCTGCTCAAGATTGCAGTAAGACAGTTGTTCCACAGGAAGCAAAAGATGGGTGGAACCACTGAAGGGCCAAGGGACAGCGGGCGGGCCGGCCCCCACCTCTGGTCTGTCCAGATCTAGGTGCACAGGAATGTTGTACTAACTAGGAGGAAAAAGCCTGTATTCTTCGGGGAGCAGCCCCCACAGAGCTCTCGGCCCGGTGTGCTGGCTCTCCACAGAGCCTCCTTTGGCCCTGCAACTCCCATGGGACGCTCTCCATTGTCCCCTGGTATTGGACCCTTGCCTGGAAAGAGGGCTGAGGACAAAATCTGAGGACAATGGCACAAACAAGGGTAGGTGGGACAGGATGAAGTCTCAGGCCACTGAAGACCAACACCCTTTCCCAGTGATGCCTGGGATCCCCAGACCTCAGAGCCTCCTCATCCAGCGGACTTCTATGTTGGGGAATTGTCACTCATTTTGCCCACCCAGCCTGCTGGTCAGTGTCTTCATCAGTTCAGCTTCCTGACCCACTTACTTTGCTTTATTTATAAAATGATAAGCTTCATTCCAGTGGGCAAGAAGGTCTGTGGTCTCTTCATCATAGACGCGGATGTTGTGATATGCAAACAAGCCAGGAAAAAAATTGTCTATTTCTCTAGTGACATTTAAAATGTAGTCAACCCTGCAATGACAGAGAGAGAGAGGAAAAAAAAAAAAGCAGAATCACAACGAAGAACTAAAATGTAAAAGTAACAAAAACTGCCAGAGGAAAAAATTATTTTTAATGTACATGAATACAGAGTACATTTGCAATGGGATTCTTTTCCTTTAATAGTTTTTTAATTCCCTATCCATGATAAGTGCATTTATACAAAAACAAAAACAAAACAAAACAAAAAACCCTCTTACCTTATAAAAGAGTATTCAGTATTCAGTTCTAAGCACTGCTAAGGAAATAAGAGTGTAAACACATTTCTAAACTCCTTAAACTTTCAAAATTTGTAACTACCAGTAGTAGAGAGCCATGCATGCGGCGCAAGACTGTAATCCCAGCTGTTGGAAGGCTGAGACTAGAGGATCAGAAGTTCAAGGCTACCTTGTCTCAAAATTATATATAAAAAAAGCTGGGCATATAGCTCAGTATTTCCTGGGTTCAGTCCCTGGTACTGGAAAATAGAAAAAAATAAAAAAGTATACAGAGGCTTAACAACAATAACAATAACAACAACAAAGTCTGTACCAAATAGTTAAAAGCAGAATACAACCCATCTATCATTTATTCTTGGGAACTGCTTTACTTTTTTAACAAAGGCAAGATACAAATATGCCTGCTAACCCAGGTTCTCTAGTTTGGTATACTTAACCAGTAGTCTTTTTTTTTTTTTTTTTAAGTATAGGGGATTGAACTCAGGACCTCATACTTGCAAAGCAGGTGGCAGCACCACTGAGCTAAACCCCCAGCCCCTCAGTAGTCTTTTGAGAGAAGCTTCTATCTGAGACAGAAGGGGGACTCTAAAATAGGTTGCCTCACCAGTAGTCCTTTTTTGTTGTGTTTTTTGAGACTGGGTCTCACCATGTAGTTCAGACTAGACTTGGACTCACTGTGTAGCCTACAGTAGCCTCAAACTTGCAGCAATCCTCCTGCCTCTGCCTCCTGAGCGCTGGGATTATAGGTGAGTGGCAGCACCACTGAGCTAAACCCCCAGCCCCTCAGTAGTCTTTTGAGAGAAGCTTCTATCTGAGACAGAAGGGGGACTGGAAAATAGGTTGCCTCACCAGTAGTCCTTTTTTGTTGTGTTTTTTGAGACTGGGTCTCACCATGTAGTTCAGACTAGACTTGGACTCACTGTGTAGCCTACAGTAGCCTCAAACTTGCAGCAATCCTCCTGCCTCTGCCTCCTGAGCGCTGGGATTATAGGTGTGGGCCACCATGCCTGGTTTAACCAGTATTTTTATTCATGGAAGATCAAGTAATTTTAGGAATTAGGAAATATCTCACACAGGTTTCATAAGTGAATACTTTTAACACATTAAAATGATACCTTTAAAAATCACCTATTTATTCCCAATAAGATGGAAGCATACAGATTAGCACCCCGAATCTGAAGACTCTGTTGAAAGGACACTTCTTACCCAGTAGTTCCAAAGATATATTTTAAGATTTGTTTAGTCTTGGTTTTCAAATGTAATTCAAGAATGCCATCATGTTAGACCCACAGAATGGTGATTTTGTGGCTATGTTGTTTTAAAAAAAAAAGTCCAGACATCTGTTCTTGAAGGTCTAGGTTTAAACATTTTTCATTCCTGCTGCTGAGCATTTATTTCTCAGAGACAGCCATATAACTCTAGCAACACTGAGTATTTAGTTGCAGGATTCCCACCAGGTCCAAATATAAACTCAGAAAGGGACAGAAGTGGTCGTTCTCAGGTTTGCTGACTGGCCAAATGGCCAGTAGCCTATGCTAGGATTTTCAAAGACTCTGCAGGATAATGAGGTGGTGGGAGGGAGCTCCGAGTCTTGTCAGATCTAGGCCATCTCATACCTGTATAATTCAGAAAGCTTTTCCCTGCCACACACAATCACACAAGACTCCCGGGAAAATCCAAACCGGTGAACTATTCAGGATGTGGCATTTTGAAGCACATCTGTGTAGCTGTGCAAATCAGCCCCTCTGGCCATTTCAGCACCCTGAGTGTGGGCAATCAAAGACAGGCAGCCCAAGGTCTCAGCCTCTATGGCTGGTGGAGCAGAGGGCTCCTGAGCCGCCCAGAAGGACAGGGGAAGACAAGGGGTGCAGACTCACCCTGAGCCCTGCAGCTCCTCCAGATTGGATGCATTCCATTCAGAACCCTGGGGGACAGATCACACAAACCCCCGTGAGTGTCACAGTTAGCCTCAGAGGTGCTTATGGGAGGCACGGGTTACCCTAGTCATAACGGTAGGGCCTTCTTTCACAGCCCTGGCCTAGACACAAGGGAGAACTGGAAGGTGCAGGCATCCAGGCATGTGCCTAAGGGCCTGTGGGCAGAGCAAGTCCAGGGAAACCTGCTCCCTTCTCATTACTTCCTTTCCTCAGTCTGTGGTTACCAGAGGCAATGACTGGCAACCTCTGCATCACTAATCACAATGGGAATCGCTTTTCTGGGAAATATTCTGGCAATATTTTAAAAAGTTCCCACCCTCTGACCCAATAATTCCACTTACTAAATGCTATCCTGAGGAAATAACAGAGTTCACATAGTGATTTAGGAATGGGGATGTTTATGATTATTCATAATAAAATAGTGGAAATAACTCAAAGGTCCAACAGGAAGAAATCAGTAAAATAAAAGAGGATGAATCCGTATGAGGGAGTCATTAAAATAAATCAGTCTTTTGTAGACTGCAGCGGGGCACAGGGAAATACCACATGAGAAGAAAACAAAAGCAGGGTACAAAAGTACGTAACAAAGAATATGATTATTTGTTTCTTTTTTTAAAAATCAGTACTGGGGATTTAAGCCAGGGCCTTTGCACTGAATTACATTCTCACCCCTTTTCAACATTTTTTATTTTGAGACAGGGTCTCGTAAATAGCTCAGTTACCCAGACTGCACTTGAACTTGTGATCTTCTGGCCTCAGCCCCCAGAGTACTGAGATTATAGCACTGGGACTACCGCACTTGACTTCTTTCTTTTTTAAAAAGTTATGTAACCATCTGGATGTGATAGTGCATGCTTGTAATCTCAGTACTTTGGAGGCTGACGCAGGAGAATCACTGCAAGTTCAAGGCCAGCCTGAACCACATTGAGACCCTGTCTCAGAGAAAAAAGAAAAAAAGCTATGCAATCATTAAGAAAATCCAATGGGCAAGGCCCTGGGTTTGATTTCCAGCACTCCAAAAAACAAAACAAAATAACCAAAACAAAACAAAAACTTCACAAAACAGAAGATGGGAAAAATAAACCAAAATGTTAAGAGCGACTACCACTAGGTGTGTGACTGGGGGTGTTTCTCCTTTACACTGATTTTTATTTCCAACCCTTCTATATGTTTTAATTTAATGCATTAAGAACTGGAATCATTAAAAAACAAACCCTCGATTTCTAAACTTTCAAAGAATATGGATGAAAAAACAAAGCAAAAATGGTCACTTTGCTCTTAGGAAATGCAGACTGAGGTTAGGCATGAAGAGTCTTAGCTTCTCTGCAGCCATCCTTTCTTGAGTTCCCAAGTGGACAGGCCCTGCTGGATCAGATGCTGCGGGGCTCCGAACAAGCCGGCAGTGTGCAGTGTAGGCCGGGTGTGCGTATTTGACAGCCTCAACCCTACAAATTCTTTTAAAAACTTATGGAAAGTGATGTAGACACTGACCCCCAATAAATAAATATGTATATATATATATATTCTATCCATCCATCCATCTGTCCATCCATCCACCTATTTCTGCAATACTCCTCAAAGAAAGCCATGAAAGCCTTCTAATTGTGACCATCTCATGGAAAAGGTACAAGGAGGTGACTTCCAATGGATTTCAGCAGGGACAAGATCAGTGCCTAAGCACGCTCTGTGTTATCTTTCAAGGTAATGGACAGTATTCACATCCACACATTTATATACATCTTCACGTGTAAATACGAAATATATACAGGTAGACTTACATGTATCAGTGCATCAAAGCACATAGCTTAGAAGGTGTCACGGCACAGACTTCTGGTGGATGTACTTACTTCCTGCAGGCTAAAGCAAAATGCCCCTGCCTTCAGCAGCCCACACATGCCCTCAGTTTCCAGGATATATTTTTCCCCCAGTCATACACACAGCATTTATAACAGCGCCTCCTGACCCTTGCATTTGGTGCCTTCAATGCGTATTTTATTTAATGCTCATAAGCATCCAGTCAAGTTAGGAGGAAGGCAGAGTGACCTGATCCAAATCCTGAAGCAGGTGAGGCAGAGGTGCAGGAACATGACCTTGCTGGGTCTGACTTTCATTCCACCGCAAGGCCTCACTTCCCACTTAATTTTAGCAACATGTCTTCCATTATAGTCTCTGACTGAAGTCTTGCCAGTTGCCTTCTATAGAGATTTCTAGCACAAAGATACTCAGCAGGACCTGAGAGATGCAGACAGCCACCCAACCCTGGGTGGATTTCTCCACTGGGCTCTGGGCACAGTGCATGCGAGCAGGCATCTGGACAGGCTCAGGTCTAGATCTGTCTGCACTGTTGTTTGTGTCTTTGGATGCCTGGGCACCATTCTGGGACTCAGTGGGTATTTGCTGTTAGTAACTGGGGCCCTGTGGCCCATGAACCATTTAGAGGTAACTGGATGGGGCCCATTTGTTAGTGACTGAAGAGGACGAAGGGCTGTGAGGGTCTGAAAGCACATGCCAGGTAAATATGCCAAACCATTTCCCAATAACCCTGCCGCTCAGCTGAGCTCCATCTCTAACATCTGGTGCCAGAGCAGACCGGCAGGCTGCAGGCCAGAGAAGAGGTCATAAAGAGGAGCTTCCAACAAGAGTTCGGGTAGGAACTCCAGTGAGTCAAGCTTTTTCTCTCTGACTTGTTGCAAGCTCCAAACAATGAGGTCTGATTTATGATCCCCAAAACAGATACCACTGGGCTGTGCCTCTTACGAGATAAAGGTGATCGAAGATAAGGGAGGGCTTGTCCATCTGTCCCAAGATAAGCAGCATCTCATTGTCTATGAATTCCTTGAATTCTTTCAAGTTACAGTTCATCTGTTTTTCTAATTCATTACGAATCTGCAAAGGGGAAAAAGTTAGGAAAAGTGATTTGTTAAAGAAAAAATTTGCCTACCCCCAAGCAACAGAGAGACCCTGTCTCAAAATTAAAAATAAAAAGGGCTAGAAATGTTGATTCCCTGGGTTCAATTCCCAGTACCATGGGCATGTGTGTGTGTGTGTGTGTGTTTGGGAGGTGATGTGGGTAAATGCTTCTTGGTGAAACCTATGTACCTCTTGGAACTGTCATGAAAGGTCAAACAAGTGAGGTTCAGAGAGGGCAAAAACATGTCTAAGCTTTCATAGTTTTAGTAATAGCAGCTATGGAATCCAACTAGAGCCTGACTCTGGGGCCTGTGTGCCTTCTTGCTGCCACTGTACAGAGGCAGAGAAAAGCCTGCAAAAGAAAGTGAGCAGATCTAGAGATGACCTGTGTTGGTAAGGCCTGCTTCTGCTGCACAAATGTATACCCTCTGACCCCTGGCCTGCTACCAGGGCAAGAGTCCTCTTACTTCTTTGGAGGTCACATTTTCGAGATCCTGGCTCATCATAATGCTTCGGAGTTTGGCTTTTATGAGACGCTCAGTCCTTTCGCCCTCGGTTGGCCTGGAAAGAAAAAACATTTAGGAAAACTTAGAACAACAGGATGCCTGAGGTCAGGGGCCACAGAAGCACTGGTTGCTCTGGGGTGTGCTGGAGTGTGGCTGGGGCACATAGAGCCCCCTTCCAGTGTGCTGTTGTCCAGGGTTGGGAGAGATAGGATGCCAGCTTCATGTCTAGTTCCTAGGAGAGGTGCCACAGAGTGGAAGGCAGCTAAGAGGACAGACGGCAGTTTGGAAACTCACTCCCTGTCCAGGCTCTGCAGTGCCAGTCTCTTGGGGCAGGGCGCTGGAACTACCTAGTATAATGGCCCAAAATACAAGGCCCTTCAGTCTCTCTGGAACACGCCCTCCTAATGCAGCTGTTGCTGTGCCCTAAGAACCCTGTCCTGCCTGGGTCCAGCTCCAGTCATGTCCTTCTCGTATAGAATCAATATTTCTGTCTTCCTTGTAACTTCTACGTATCAGCCCTTTCTAGGGTCACACAGACCAGGACCATCCTTCCCCTTCATATATCTAGAACAACATCACTTCTTGCCACATGCCTCATGATTTGTTTGCATACTTGAATGAGTGGCTTCCATTCATGTGGGCTGCTTCCCCTCTGTCCACAGCTGTCTCCAATTCAGCACCAGCCAGGAATGGTGGTGCATGCCTGTAATCCCAGTACTCAGGGAAGCTGAGGCAGAAAGATCATTAGTTCAAGCCCAGCCTAGGCAATTTATAGATTTAGGAAAACCTTAATTAAAACATCTTGTAATAAGGTCTGAAAAGGGCTGGAGATTTAGCTCAGTGGTGCCGCTGCCTGTCTCACAAGTGGAAGGTCCCAAGTTCAATCCCCGGTACAAAAAAAAAAAAAAAAAGGTGGTGGTGGGGGGTGCTGAGGATGTAGCTCAGCATGAAGGCTCTGGGTTCAATTACCAGTACTGCAAAAAACACAAAAGGAAAAAATGTTGTCCAGACATGGCAACACACTATTGTAATTCCAACACTTGGGAGGCTGAGGCAGGAGGACTGCCAAGAATTCAAAGCTAGCCTGGGCTACATAATGAGAGTTCATGGTCGGTCTGAACAATATAGCAAGACCCCATCTCAAACAAAGCAAAACAAAAAAGTGTTCCAGCAGAACATGGCACTTGGGGAGTAGGTTTTTGACCCAGAAAGAACAGCTTCCTTCTTCCTCTCAAACTAAACTCTGAAGAGAATGGCTTCAGGCCACATTGGTGCACCACTGATGACCACATGACAAAGGCCACCTGCTTCACTACAGCTGCTGCAAAGGCAGACTGCCATTTGGATCAAGGTGCCTAAAAATGCAGAGGTCACGTTGACCAGTCTCCTAGAAGCAGAAAGGGAAGCTCTGGAAATCTGAGACCCTGGCGACATGCAAAGGGAAGACCCAAACAAAACACTGCCCAGAACAGGTGAAAAACAGGACAGCACATCCTTTAGGGTCTGTTGAAAGGAACTTAGGGACCTATTCCCCAGAAACACACTCATCATTTGTCTCTAACGTTTTTTTGGTATCGGGGATCACACTTGGGACCTTGTGCTTGCAAGGCAGGTGGTGCAACCACTGAGCTAAGTTCCCAGCCCTGTCTCGAACTTTTAATGGAAGTTTGTATCACACACCCAATAGCTGAAGGTGTCCCAGGGCCCCAGGTGATATCCCTGCATCATTAGCGGGTTTAGAAAGGTGATGCTCAGTCAAGGTTCTTCAAAAGCTGTGCCCTTGTCAGGCCCAGTCCTGGGGAGTTGGGTGACACACATACTTGTCAACAAAGAGGGCCGGGGAGTCAGGCCGCGTGGACTCCAGGTCCTGCATGGCATTCCACTCGTTGATGCAGCTCTGTTCCGAGCCAATGCAGCTCTCGTAGTAGGTGGCCCAGATGAGTGCCACACCGCCAGGAAAGTAGTTGTGCCTTCGAGCCACCTCGCAGGCCTTGTGAAGCACCTGCAGGGCAGACCTGGGGGTGAAGGTGGTGAGGGTCAGGCCTGGAAAGGCACAAGAGGTTCTGGGTTTCCCTCTGACAGTTTAAGGTAAGGGTTATAAAGGACCCACATGCTTGCGTGTGTGTGTGTGTGTGTGTGTGTGTGTGTGTGTGTGTGTGTGTGTGTGTGTGCGCGCGCGCGCGCGCGCGCGCATAACACATGGCAGCCTGAAACTCACAGCTGCCAGAATCAGAGCTATCAGCTGTATCCACAAGTAGGTGGAACATCTTTCACCATTTCCAAAGAGGTAAAAGATAATAACAAACCCCCAAAGGTTCATAACTTCCAAACAGGCTGTTTCACACGTTACCTTACATTCTTTCAATTAACTCCAAAAGGTTATTATTGACTTCCAAAATTGTGAAGCCAGAATGAAGCCTCCCAGCAGATGAGAAAGGCCATTAATATTCTGCAGAGAAATCTTCATAATTTAACTTCTAACCTCTCCACCAGCCCATCGCTGTGATCCCAGCTTACAGGCTTAGCTTCCTCACACAGAAACAGAAAAGGGGGTTTGGGTTCGCACACTGGGACGGAAGGAACAACACTGACAATGTTTTAGTCACCCTCTTTTGCTTCTCCGTAAAAACTATGTATGTCTGTTTTAGGGTTTCCAGTTGCTCTATGGCTAGCAGCCTGCTGTCCCCTTCACTGAAAACTCAGCACCCACTGTGTGCCAAGTACACAGAATAAGTAACATTTTTATCAACAGGAGCTAGATATGTGAAAATATACCTTTAACAATAATTTTAAAAACTCAATAAAAAAATGGGCAAAGGGGTCTGGGGATTTAGCTCAGTGGTGCCACAGCCTTGCAAGCACAAGGACCCAACTTTGATCCCCAGTACCAAAAAAAAAAAAAAAAAAGGGCAAAGGACATAAAAAGACATTTCTCCAATGAAGACACACATAGGGTAAATAAGTGCATGAAAAAATAAAGCTCAACCTAAGTCATTAGAGAAATGCAAATCAAAACCACAAGATACCACTTCACAACCATTAAGGTGGTGATCATATGAAAAAAACAGCCAGGTGCAATGGTGCACAGCTGTAATTCCAGCACTCTGGGAACCCAGGCAAGAGTGTCCCAAGTCTGAGGGCAGCCTTGCAATGAAGGGAGACCCTGTCCTAAACAAAGGAAGGGCTGGGGATGCAGCTTGGGGGAAGAGTGCTTTCCTGGTATGCCCTGGGTTCAATCCCCATTACTGAAACACAAGCAAACCAAAACAAACAAATGAAATAAACTAGGAAGTGACAAACCTGTGTAGAACCTGGAACTCACATTTTGCTGATGGGAATGTAAAATGGCATAGCCACTGTGGAAAAGTTTGGTGATTTTCCAAAATGTTACCACAGAATTACCATGTGAGCTAGCAACTTGACCCCTAGGTATACTCCCAAAAGAACTGAGAGCAGAGCCTCCAAAGAATGTACAAGGATGATCACAACAGCATTACTCACACCACCCCAAAGGCAGAAACACCCTAATGCCCATCAGTAGACAAATAAACACAATGCAGTACATTCATACCATGGACTATCAGTCAGCTTTTAAACACATAAGGAAAAACTGGTACAAGCTACAACATGAATAAACCTTTAAGCATTATGCTGAGAGGAATGAGACAAATACTATCTAATGCACTTATATGAGGTTCCTAGAATAGGCAGACCAATAGAAATAGAAAGAACAGAGGTTACCAAGCCTGGGGAAAAGGAAAAGGAAAAGCTATTAGTTAAAAGGTTCAGAATTTCTGTTTGGGATGATGAAAAAGTTCTAGAAACAGTGTGAATACACTTAATGCCACTGAATTGTATACTTAAAAATGGTTCAAATGGCAAATTTTATATTAGTGTATTTTGCCACACAGACCTCTAAACAAACTTATTAGTACAGGCAGTTTTTCTATTTATGTTGTCATCTAGAAAACTATTTCTAAGGAGTTAAAAGTTCCTCAAACTCCACTTACCACATGGCCTGGACAGATACGGGTTTAAATATGTGCATCCTTCCTGCTGTGCTCACACTGAACCCACTGAGAATGAAAAACAAAAAGGACCCATGGTGAGAAATCAGATGCTTTTAATCAGTGTGCACTCTGGGAACAAGTACACCTCAAGCTGTCTGATGGGGGATTACACATTGTGCAGAGGCGTGGGCAAAGCTGAAAAAAATCCATTCCCAAATCAGGAAGACTTGTTTTTAACCCAGCAAGACCAGCTCTGCCAAACACTGAAAGTCTAGCAGAGGGGGAGAAGCAAGCACTGTATTGAACAGCATCTCCTCTGTTCCCACAACTGTCCCTGACCACCCACTGCCTCCATCCCATTCCCTCCCCTCCCCTCCCCTTCCTGTAATTGCATAAAAATATATTAATGGAAGATAAATTTATTTTAAAAGGGGAAATCTTCTCCAAATCCCTTCATCTAAACAAATTACATTTCTATATTTTCCTTCCAGGCCTCTTTCTGAAGCTGTTTAACTTGCACCTGCTTGGAACCTCAATTCCTGTGTCCCTTCTCCCCGTTCACCCTAGCACCCATGCATTCTCCTAGAAGTGAGTACAGGCAGAACAGACAGCCCTTTATCCTTTGTGAAGGCAAAGGCCAACCTGACCTGTGCCAATCCTCCCTGCAGCACCTAGAGCACTGCTATGCCTGTCAGTTGCATGTCTCTTCCTGGAACTCCCAGCGAGCGCCTGCTGTAGCCTACTCATCTGTGAATTTGCAGGCCCTGCCCTAGAGCACACATAGTGAGTGTTGCTTGACAATGGAAGGTAAACCTGAGGACAACCAGTGAGCTGCGGTTCTTGAACTGCAGTATACCTGCTGCAACACTTTCACTGATATCATCACCTAAATAAACCCCCTTACAGAATGTCCAGGAGGTACATCTGTGAGACTCACTGGAAAACAACACCATTTCCCCTAACAAGTGATTGATTATCCAAAGGTACCCGAATCAGCTTGTGGTTCTGAATCTACATCAAAGGAATCTCTGAAAGATATGGTCCTTACCCATCTCCATCAAGGTGGATCTTCGTGTCACTCCATAGTCGGAGAACCATCCCGATGGTGCAGCTCTTACTACAAGGGGGGAAGAGAAGGCGTCTAAGTCAGTGTCTACCCACAGCATGTACGGGCTTCCCCGGGCTCCTCGCCCCACCTGTCCAGCTCATAGACAAGCATCCCTGACTTGTGGCAGGCTGCTGGGTGTGGACAGGAAGAAGAGCTCAGGCTATCTGGGCAGGTACCACTCACCAATGAATTCTAGAAGACATGGGTCTGCGACCATGCTAAAGGGAGTCATCAAGTGGCTGCACTATTTTTGTGTGTGTGTGTGTGTGTGTGTGTGTGTGTGTGTGTGTGTGTGTGTAACTCTCAACCTGAGGCTCTTGGGGTAAGTGCTATACAGCAGTAAAGTGTGTGTTGTCTTTTTGTGTTTGTGTGTGTGTGTGTGTGTGTGTGTGTGTGTGTGTGTGTGTGTAACTCTCAACCTGAGGCTCTTGGGGTACAAGGAGCAACCAACTGACCAAGGGCTCACACTTCTGCAGGAGAGAAGGCTGGGGCTGTGCTGGTGGAGGACCAGTCCCAGCTGAGGTACAAGGGCAATGGTGACAGCCAACCTTTGCCTCACTGGTCCTGGGGTGACTGCAGAGAGGAGACTGCAGTTCACTTTCAGACTTGTGTTTTTCTATGTATTGTGTTCCTACCATTTTATGAACTAGCTGGATCAGGTTCTTTTTTGCCCATGCTAACAGTGAAATGATACTTATCGATTTTAGAGTCTGGCGCCACTGAAACACAGGGAAAGAAAGGGCTTATCAGAGGGGCTCCTCAGATTCTTATGAAAATTCTTTGGGCATTTAAAAAGGCTGGCTTAAGACAAACTGCTGCAACTGAGCCAAGGGCTGGCCTGACACCCATCGACAATCCTGAGCTCCTATCTCTTAACAGCCCCTTGGGAACTGGTTGTCCTTGCTCATGGTCTCCCATGTGGACAGGGAGCTCAGGGGCTTAGGAACCAGCTGCTCTTCCAGAGAACTGCTCACCCTGCAGACTCCTTGCAGTCTTGGGCTTTTATGTCTGGGGTCATTTCAAGGCCTAAGCCTTGGGTTGGGCAGATTCTCCACCCCAGCCCTCTGTGGTCCTACCCAGTCTTGGTGGGTTCCCAGTATTTCTCTTGTAGAGCTTCAAAATAAAATTTGTGTTGAGCTTCACAGGGCTCTCAGAACTACTCAGCTGTGTCAGTGCCAGAAATGGCTTGTCCTTTGGAGTTTAAATCTGGTAAGCAGAAAGCTCAGGAGGTTTCCCTACCAATCTGTGGGCCGGCAGGAAAGGCCTAAGCTAAGCACTGACAATCTGAGCCAGGACTGGTAAAGAGTGGCGGTCACAGCAGCTAGATATGGAAAGTAGGGAAGGGATGTGTAGTTAGTGACAAGGAATCTTTTCAGAGGAAGAATGACCCAGAGGATAAAGTGGGACTCTGGGTGGAGCAACTAAAGGAGGAGAATACAAGTTCCAAGTCCTTGCAGTCTGTACAACAGGAACAGGGAGCAAGAAGCGGCAGCCCCATCACAAGGGCTTGTTTTGGAAGAAAGACCTCTACAGATGGAAAGATGCTAACACGTGGAGGGCAGCGGTGCATGCTCCCAGCACTCAAGATGTTCCGGCATCTGAAACGAAGATTAACTCAGGAACAAGTCCAGAGCCAGGATGGTGGTGCACACCTGTAATCCCAACACTTGGGAGGCTGAAGCCTTTGAGTTCGAGGCCAGCATGGGCTTCATAGTAAGTTTAAGGCCAGCCAGAACTATATAGTGAAATACCGTCTCAAAAAAATAAAACAAAACAAAAAAGAAAGAAAAGAGAAAAACAGATGTTAAAAAAAAAAAAAAAAACAAATCCAGAGTGGCTGCCTGGTCTCCCAGAGTGTATGATCCACCACGAATTGCCATCACCCAGTGCTCTCTTTCCTATAGGGCAGTTAGCCATCCTCTCAATGGGAATCCATGAAGACACCCTCTGGGCAATGCTCAATCCTCCCCCCTCTCTGACTAAGGGAACAAAATCTCAGCATGAATTTAAGAAAACAAGAGTATCATGGCCTTGGTAATCCAAAAACTTTTGGTAAGGGGCCAAGACTTTGTTTCCAGACCAAGGGAGAATATGATAGCCCTAGTGCCCAACAATGTGAGGTACAGAATACCCACTGCCGGCGCCCCCATAATTCCTGGGCATGGAGGGCCTGCATTACAGCTACCAACAAGGAGGTGGCTCAGTTCCCACTCCGTCAGTGCAGCAGCAGGAGACCTACAGCACGCTGGGAGTGATACCTTCAGGCAGGCTGTGGCTCTAGCTCAACACAGAGAGGTTGGCCTGAGGGCAGAGCATGGAGGAGCAGCAAGAGGACCTCAGGGAGAGGGGGCCCATCAGAACCCGAGGTGCCAGTGGGAGGCAGAAAGAGGAAGGCTGGAAGGGGAGGGCGAATCAGAATGGGTGAGAGTGGGAGCCCAACTACCCCAGCTGGTAAGGAACGAACTTGGGTGCACATGTGTATGTCTAACACCAACTGGGACTTCAGTCTGGAGAGCACAGGTCCTGGCTCTTGTACTTTATGAAGCCCAGTACCCGGCACTGCCTGGCACAAACTAACAGGTAAGCATGTGATCAATCCATGAATGAGTGGGGGAGCAAGCCGGGGCACGGGAAGGCGCACAGCATATCGGAAGGAACACACATGGGGTCTCCCCAAGCCCAGGCCCCTGATCACCTACTTACCGGGTCAACCCTGGAGTGCTCAGACCAGCCTCCTGAGCTCTGACTCCTTCCTTATACAATGAAAGGCAGGGCTCTCCACCCTCAGGGCACTTAAGAATTAAAGGAGATGTTCACAGGGTGTTAGGTCAATTGTGTTGCACTCTGCAGCTTCAGCCGGAAGATGGCTGGGAGAAGGGCCAGACTCCTATGAGGCTTCAGTCAGGATCAACAACACAGGTACAGCTCAAGGGAGGCAGGTCTTGGTTCGGGGTCAGAACCAATTACTAAAGACTGGTGGTGAGAGAAGTCTCTGCTCCTAAAAGATTTCCCAAGGGCTGGGTAGTCATGTGAAGAACAACTATAGCTGCAACACTGTTAAACACAGAATGTGTTGGCCTCACAACCCCCAAAGAAAGGCCCTCATCGTGTCTGGGAGCAACTATCTGCCTGCTGGCATCTGCCACAACGCACCAAGCCCTCTGGCCTCCAAGTGGCTCTTCGGCGCTCACCTGCTGGCACATGGTACACTGTGCATTGACCCACACTTACTTCCCAATCAGCCTGGGGTCACAGATGCCAGCTCCAATTCTGACCCACCCAAGTGTGCTGCAGAAAACTCAAACGATGCAATGAGGTGCTGCATGGAAATACCACAAAAGCACAGGCCCAACAAGCAACAGAGTCCAGGTCACCAGCCTGTGACTCAGAGCAGCTCTCTCACACCAAGAAGACACAACTGCCCCTTAACCATGGCCATTCACAGCCCTTAGGATTTTTCCTGCTCCAGACTCTGCCTGGCCTTCCCCATCCCTGAACTTGCCTTGTTGACCACTGATCTGGTAAGACCTGGCTTAACAGCACCGGTTCCTGTCTTGCATTCACCCCACTGTGTGCACAAAGAAGTGTGAGCGTCTCTCTATCACTGAGCCTCTCACTCTCATGGCTACAGACAGCTGTCTTCTGAGTTAGCTGACATCTCTCTGAGGCCAAGAACTGTATACTGCTGCTTCTTTGCCTCCTGGGTCTCACCCACTACCTGGTACACAAGAGAACACCAGCAAACTGTTTAATGAGTGAGTAGATAAATGGTGATGGGTAAGGAGTCTTCTTTGATCTAGTTTTCACAGATCCACGGATGACAGTAACCTCATGTCCATGAGTATATCCCAAATGTCAAGTAAGCTGTTTACATACATAACAGGTCCATGAAATAACCCTGGCAGCCTCCAGTTACTGGAAAATGGCAAGTTGCTCTTAAAGCCACAGACCAGGCCATGCCCCAAAGTACCTGGAGACTTGCGGTGTAGCCCTTCTAGTCCAGGTGCTCAATGTGATGCCCAGCAGGCACATGCTCTCATCTGGGCCTCTGAGCCTGGAAGGTGTCTTCTGTGCCCACCAGCCTGGAAGGCATCCACTCCGCTTCCAGGCCTGACTCTGGCTTATCCCTCCTGTGCAGTGCAGCTGTCTCTTCCTCCAGGGAGCTTCCAGGCTAAGGTGCCCTTTGCTATGGTTCGCACATGGTTTGAGTGTTCCCTAAAGGGCCACGTGATGAAGCTCAGTCCCCATAAGAGAGTGTTAGGTGACACTTGAAGAGGTGGGGCCTAGTAGAAGGTAATTATGTCATGGCTCCATTATGGAAGGAATTAAAGTTGGCTTCATAGGCAAGTTAGTTTCTGCACATGCTAAGCACATGCTCTACCAGCACCAGAGCAAGTTGTTATAAAAAGACCAAGCCTGACCCCTGGATCTCTCTGGTTTCCTGTCTTCTCATGTGATCTCTTCTATACATACTCCCACCACTGAGATGCCACCTGCCATCAGACCCTCACCAGAGGCCAAACAGATGGCGCTGCCTTATCTTGGACTTTCAGCTTTCAAAACAGTGAGCTAAATAAACTTTTCTTTACCAAATACCCAGACTCGGGTATTTTGTAATAGCAACAGAAAACAGACTGATGTCCCTCCTCTTCTATAGTTCACAGTATTAAAAATACCATGTACTGACCCAGTGATTTTGCTCAGTGGTTCCATCACCTGCCTCACAAGCACAAGGTACCGACTTCAATCCCCAGTATAAAAAAAAAAAAAAATACTGTGTACTTTTCAGTCTTCTCAATGTACTGAGCTCCCTGAGCAAAGACTGCATGTGATACCACACCCAGTGCATGAGAGTTGAAATGGTACAACCTCCTGCTCCCAGGGCCTCAACCACCCTCTGTTCTCTAACAGGATACATCCATGCTCATCTCCCAGGAACATGTTTAATAGCAGATCTTGTCCCCCTCCCAAGGGAACCACCATCCCATAACACTCACCTTTCTTTACTGGAGAAGTCAACTCCCAGCAAGATACTCTCCTCGGTGTCTTGGCGCCCGCTGCTGTACACCACCACCATGTAGCGGACGCGATCTGCCCAGGCACTCTCTAAGCGCACGGCCTGCATTGGGCAGGGAGGTCCTCACTGGTCTGCTCTCCAAGGCAGACCTCCCCTCCCTCCCTCCTCCACCAAACCAAGACCAAGAGCTTAGCAAGACGTGATGGCGTGTGCCTATAATCCCAGCACTTGCAGAGGCTGAGGCAGGCGGATCACAAGTTCCAGGAGTATAGGCAACTCAGTGACTTAGTGAGACCCTCTCAAAATTAAAACTGTTGGGGATACAGCTCTGTGCAAAAGCCCCAGGCTCAATACCTGGTATATAAAAAGAAAAAAAGAAAAAAAAAAAAAGACCATGAAATTTAGTACTCTCCCTTTCTCTCCATGAAGGAAGACAGGAAGAGATAAAAATGAAATACTTGAGAGCAAGAGCCAGGTTTCACTTCTATCTGTCTGTCAGGTACAGCTCAGAGGGGATACTCAAAACATGGAAACTGAGCATACAAATGAAACCAGAGATAGAAGACGGCATTTAGCACAGATGGCCACAGAGACCTGACACACCCTCCACTGACCCCTCTGGGGTGCCTCAGAGCAAATGAGCTTTGGCTGTTTTTTCTGGTGCCAGAGACGGAAGCCAGAGCCCTGGTACAGGCCACGCACAGGCTCTACTGCTGAGCCGCGCACCCCAGCCTGGCGTTTGCTCTTAGGGACAATGTGGGAGAGTTCATCATCACCCAAAAACCTTCCCCTTCCTGTTCGCAAACAGCTCCCCACTGAATTTCACAATTAAAATGAAAACTTGCCACTTCGATCTCTTCTTACCAGCTTGATTCTGTCTTCACAGCGCAGAAGGTTGATCATTACTTGCAGATGTTGGGGCAGGTCGCCTGCAGGACCAATGAAGAAAGTTTTAAGTCATCCACCTACTTTCTAGGAAGGAATCTAGAGGCTGAGTTTGAGGATCTTAAAAATTTTGAAGGAAAAAAAATCTATCTACACCACAGGAGAAATATTGTAAAAACTCTTGTCTGGATCTCTCTTACTGTCTTCTGGAATGCTGTGCCAATGAAGATGGGTGAGTCACAGTTTGCAGCTACACTACAAAGAGCTACCTTTATTTTGTGAAACACCTGTGATATGGGTGTTTTTAATGAAAAATTTGGGAAACACTGACACGTCTAGAGAAAATGTTATTTTGTTGAAGCAAACATTGCTTGGCAGAAGGGGAGGCAGTTGTGACTGAAGTAAGGCATTTACCAAGAGTTATTCTGAGAGAAGCCAGGACAGTGGTGCCTCAGCACTTAGAAGGCTAAGGCGGAAGGGTCACCGCAAGTCCAAGACCAGCCTGAACTATACAGGGTCTCTTGTCTCAAACAAAACAAAACATCTGAAGACAAAGCACTGAGTGTTATTTTCCCTCTAAACTCCTGCGTTCTCTAAGAGAACTGTATTTTCACACCTAGGAGGAAATATCTTGAGTGCCTCTACAGATGTCAGCTTTATGCTGAGTGCCCAGAAATAGTCTGATAACAATCTGCCCTTTGTTCTTTTCTTGCTAAAAGCTATGTATTATCTCTTTTTTCTTCATTATTTAAAAAAGGCAATAATCTAGGGCAGGCTTTTAAAAAAACTTTCCCCAAGATGTGGTCTCACTATGTTGCCCAGGCTGGTCCTGGATCTCCTGTACCCTCCTGCTTCAGCCCACCAAGTAGCTGGGACTTACAGGCACATGGGATTGTGTGTGGTCAGGACAGGCTTTTGAACTTTGCTGAGCTGCTCCAGGGTCAAGGAGGTATCTCCAGCCTGGGGTTTTACAGGTGGTAAATCTCCACATTTGGCCAGAGCTAGCTAATGGAACAAGTGGTGTTCCAGGTGGACAGGACCTCTACAACTGAGGTGTGTCATCAGTAAACAGCAAATGCAACCCTATCACTGCTTTTTCATTGCTTATTCAATTTTTCCCTCCCTTCCTTTCTTCCATCCATCCACCTACCCATCCATCCATCAATCCTGGGGATCAAACTCCAGAGCCCTGAGCGTGCTAGGCAAGTGCTAAACCACTGAACCATATCTGCAACTTTTTAATTTTATATTTTATTTTGAGGCAGGGTCTTGCTACATAGCCCAGGCTGGTCTGAAGCTTGCAGCCCTCCTACCTGAACCTACCAAGTAGCTGGGAATACAGGTGTGCAACACTGTATCCACTAGGCAACTTCTTAATGTATGCAGAGTGATGAACTAAGGAAAAGGTGCAAGGAATAACTCATTAAGAAAAAAATCACATCAATTTCAATTTTGTGCAATACCCCCAAGAAACTATATTATCTGTTACCCTAGAGAACAAATGAGAACCCTGGGGAGGGTCAATACTGCTTATATACTCAAATACTTCAAACAAAAACATCACATTTTTTCTTATTATGAATGTATTTTTTTTATTTTAAGGAAGAATGAAAGATGATGTCAAAATTGTACTTCCTATTTCAGAGGGGAATCAGGTAAGTAGATACTGGCCCCTCTAGTTAGGAGAGATCTCACATTAAGTGCTCCTTCTGCAATAAATAAAATTTTTTAAAAAAGAAAGGAAGATACCCCACTTCTCTGCAGTCACCGGTAATAGGATTCCACAGTGTAAAACACTCTCCAATGGCACTGCTCTCTGTAAGCAATGATCTGGAGACAACGGTTCATGGTAAAGAAGGACATGGAGTCCCCATCCCTCCTCCTCCACCGACAGGGCACCCACCTATCGTGTCTCCAGTGCCATGAGGCCATCTAGTCACCAGGCTGGTTCTTAGTTTGTCCAGGTTTCCCACCATCCACCCCAGCTCTCAGAACCACAGGCAAAGCAAATCCCACCCCCATGTCTGATCACAGCTTTCATAAAAGGGGCATTTTCCACACAGATAAACTCTCAGTGAGATTATCTGCTGAGATGTGAAACTGCTGACAGAAATTCAAATCCCACTGATACACACACACACACACACACACACACACACACACACACACACACACAAATAAGACAACACAAGCCTCAAGTACAGGCTCTGTAAAGGATCTGCCTGGCTGAAGCGAATGGTGGATGGTAGGCTGATCTGCCTGGTAGAAGTGTCACTGTAGTAATAACTAGTCATTTACATAACATAGCACCTAGTAGGTGGTTGGTATGTTAAATGCATAATTTTACATTTCCATGTTTTCTGAGGCTTTTGATGCCTACTGTTAAGATGAGGAAACCAAAGCTCAGAAGTCAACTATGAGCCAGGTGTGGCAGCACACACCGGTAATCTCAGCACTGGGAAGGCAGAGGCAGGAGGATCAGTTCGAGTTCAAGGCCAGCCTGAGCTACACAGCAAGACCCGGTTTCTTAAGAAAAAATGTCAACCGTGACCGCACAGTAAGTCTCAGAACTGGATTGAGAAGAGAAGTTTGTTTGCTTCAAAGCAAATACTCTTCCCACAAAGCACACTGCCTCTTTGTATAGGACAATTATTTTCACAGCTTAAAAGAGACCTTAATCTTGATTATAAGTATCAGTATGTGAAAACACTAACTGAGCCATGGTGTTTGCTATAGATTCTAAGGTATGAAATTCTAACCTGAGCGCTCAGATCCAAGATGAAGCTACATGACTTGAGGTTAAGGAAAAAAAAAAAAAAAAAAAAAAAAAAAAAAAAAACAAAAAGAAAGGGAAAAAAAAAAAAAAAAAAAAAAAAAAAAAAAAAAAGCACAACTGATCACAGACATCACTCAATAATTTCACCTGCTGCTGTTCTGGAAATTAACAGCCTTCACAGCTCAGAGACACTCAGCCCAGTGTAGCCTGTCCAGAAAGGTTACGATCTATATTACAAAGATCCCCTTGTATGCCAATGTTTGTTGAATTCCTCTTTTCAAATTGCCTTTAGTTTCAGAGCCTAAGAAACATGGTCTTGGCCGGGTGTGGTGGCTCACACCTGTAATCCCAGCACTCAGGAAGCTGAGGCAGGAGGATTGCTGTTGAGTTCGAGACCAGCCTGGGCTACATAGTGAGTTCCAGGTCAGTCTCAACTACATAGTGATACCCTGTCTCAAAAAACAAACAAACAAACAAAAAAAAGAAACATGGTCTTATCAATCCAAAGGCATTTCTTATTAGTTTGCTTTTAGACTTGTATTAATACTGTTTGATCCCCACTCTCTTGCTTCTGTCCATTCCAAAATCAAAACTAGCCACTACAGAATAAAAACGTATCACTGGGACTACTCAGAGTATGACCCAAAGGCTCTTAAAGAAATTCCCCAGATGATGTGTTTTTTTCTATTTAATATTTACATCTCACTATATCTATCGATTATGCCAAAGAGGACAATGTGAATTCATTCAAAGTAAATAAAAGACTTTTTAAAATATTAGTATTGGTTTGGGATTTTTGTTGTTGTTTCTCTCTCTTTCATTAGTGTACACTGGTCATCCATATGAATGGGTTTCATTCTGGCAGATTTGTACATGCACATAACATATTTTGATCACTCCCCCCCAACATGCTCTTCCCATCCTCTCCCCTAGTTTCACCTTTTTTGAGAGGTTTCAATACATGTATTTGATCATGTCAATTCATTCTCCTACTCGCTCTTAGACCCCCCTCCTTATCCCCTTCCTCTTCTCTAATAATAATCTCCCCAACTTTGTCATTTTTATTTAGATTAAACCTACTAGGGAGAACATATGATATTCGTTTTTTTGAGTCTGACATACCCTGTTCAACATGATGATCTCCAAATTCACCTACTGTCCTACAAATGACAACATTTTGCTCTTTTATTGATGAGTAAGACTGCACTGTGTATATAAATCCAAATGAGTTTTTCATATGCTCAGAGAAATGACAGGACCCTACACTGGGTATATATCACCCTGGGTGCTTATTTTCCAGGGGACGACATCTGGCTGTGATGCATTTGAGTGTATTTGCTTACAAGTCATACAGGAACTTAAATCTAATTAACGGTTAAACTGTGCACAGAAAAGCTTTACACACCAACAGGTCCCTCCTGGCCACCATATGTACTCAAGTGGACACACAATTTAAAAAGCTTTCACCAGCTCCCAGGCCCACCCATAGGCACCAGTCATTACAAACCCATGTTCTCTTATTTCTCTGACCTTGAGGCCCAGCAAACCGCTCACCCCAACCATGGAAGCACCTCTGTTGCACAGAATAGAAGACCCAACGTAAGAGTTATCAATGTAGAGTTGTCACCTGCATGCTTGTGGGGATGCTGAAGACTCCGCTGGCCCTGAGGGCTATTTCCCTGTTGTAAGAAGAGGGCTGCTCCTTTCACCATGAAAAAGCTCTCACTTAAACTGGAAGAAAAAAGTTGGAGAATGGTTAGAATGAATTTAGAGGAAAATGGGCCAAGACATAATGCAGAGGGAAAGCATCAAAGTGGACAAATGGCATATAAAATGCAAATGGAATGAAATTGCTTTTTCAGTAATTTCACACAGCACTCTTCCCAAGCCTCACCTTTGCTGAGAGCTTAACGCTGCTGCTTCATGATGAAATACTTCTGTTAAAACATCCCACGTTCCACGGGCCTCTGCCATGGCCAAGAGCCCCCTGCCTGCTGAACACTGGAAGGGAACTCAATGCTGTACTGTATTTTCTAAAAACAGAGAGCACCCTGATAGGAGGGGGTGGTCCACTCTGCGCCAGTTTTCACATACTTGCTATTGGCCTTGGCTTCTAAGTCCCTGACTTTTAACAATGTCAGTGCTTCCTTGATGGAATACAAAGCAGGTCAAACTAGCTGTCTACATTTTAAGGAAACTTGGTGAAGGCATGGGGATGCAGAGAACTTGCCCAGCACATGTGAAGGCCTGGGTTCAATCCCTAGTACTCCAAACAAAAGAAAACATCACTAAACTAACTTGTGACTATTAACTTGTGATTTAACTCAGCCACAGCTGCTCTTTTTTCCTGTGGAAAAATATCACACTGATCCACTGATTTGCAAAGTACAATCAATCTTTAGCCTTTGTAAATATTTAAATCAGCAAAAATATTTATATTCAACCTATAACTTTAAAAATCACAATTTAAAAATTTTTTACTTTCATAATTTAGATATTTTAAAAAGTCTTCAGCTTAGGCAGAAATTAAACATAAAAAAAGAAGAACTGGGTATGGTGGGGAATGCCTATAATCCCAGCACTCAGCAGGCTGAGGGAGGAGGACTGCCCTGAGTTTGAGGCCAGCCTGGGCTACATAATGAGATCCTGTCTCAAAAAAGAAGGCCAGGATGTAGCTCAGTGGCCCCTTGCCTGCCTGCCAAGCGGCAAGGTCCTAAGTTTGATTCCAAAGGAGTAGGAGAAGGGGAGGAAGAAGGGGGGAGGGAGGAAGGAGGAGGAGGAAGAAAGCCATAGCTATTAATTACCATCAATTATTCAAAAGTATCTTAAACTCTGAAAATTACACATAAAATATACCAAAATTATTAACAGTGGGTTTTAGTGGTTGAACCATCAATGATTTTCTTCTTCCTACTTTACAGTATTTTCCATGTTGAGCACACATTAATTTTTTAAAACGGCTTCTTTTTGTTTGATTTTTCAAAGGAATATAGAACATTGTTAAGATTTTTTTTAGCTGGGCATATCAGTACACGCCTGTAATCCCAGCACTCAGGAGGCTAAGGCAGGAAGTTCACAGCAAGTTTGGAACAGGCTGGTCTACATAGTGAGTTCAAGGCCAGCCTGAGCTACCTAGTGAGACCCTGTCTCAAAAATAAATAAATACTTCAAATTACAGAAAATTATAAAAATATAACATTTAACATATAAATGATTTGAATGGAAAATCTTTAAGAAAAAGCATTATTGTACTTATTGTTTTTTGGTACCAGGGATGGAACTCAAGACCTTTGCTTGTGAGGCAGGCTTGGTACCACTGAGCTACATCCCGGCCCCGCAGTATTATACTTCCAAAAGACCAAGTCCCACCAGAAATTTAAGAGTATAAAGAAGCAAAACACCCTTTGCTCCAAATTAAACACTGTAATCCCAAAATTTACAAATTCAGTTGAGTCTAAAGTATAGCTCTTGAGTGCTAAGAAAATGCCACATGAACTGGTATTTTAAGAAAGCAGCTCCTGGGAAAACTGATCTTCCATGATAAAAGCTTTCTAAATTTATTTCTTTGGTGAAATTCTCATGCTAAAAATACAGACTGCTTAACTGCGTGGTTCTGCCCCTCATACAGGCCTCTGGGTACCAGCAACTGGTGATTTCCAAGCTCCACCACTTCCCAGGGGCTTAGCACTTCATCGGTCACTGCAGAGAGGGCCAGGTTATCCTTTCCACTCTGTCCCAGTCTCGTGTTTGTGCTGCAAGTTTTAGGTGGTGAGGAGCCGGGGATGATAAATAGTAAAGAATGAGAAGCATTCTTCCTTTCCAATTTCACCTTCACCCAGGAGAAGCAAAAAAGCTGTTTAGCAACCATCTTTCCTTTCCTAGAATTCTACAGTCAAGACTGTTTTCAGAACCACTCTTTTAAACACGGATCACTTACAACTCACTTTCACTCAAGTCTCAAAAGACCTGTGCAAGAGACTCCCAGATCATGAAGCTTAAAACAACAATCAGTTCATCAAAGCAGCCAGGAAAGTCTTTTCAAGGCAACATCAACTTTTTTTGTTCATGAATTTGAAAATATTAACAACGAAAACCCCCCAAAACAAAACAAAACAAATATACTGACCAGAAACCTGAGCACTCTGGAAACAAGCAACCAGTAATGGTGACCTTTGCCTTGGAAATCATGGGTAAAAATTCCCCTTGGTTTCCCTTACATTTCCTCTGGGCAGGGGAGACAATGCAAAAGAAGAGGCTGGCTTTACCCTGTAATCAGTGAGAAGCCAGGTATGCCTCAGTCTAATAAGAATTAGAGCTCTTCCCTGCACATAGGAAGACAGGCCTTCAGTAAGTGATCTAGTGGACCAATTATTGGGAATGACACAGTACTTGCAAAATTATCCTAAATTAAGAAAAAAGATGAAGTCAGGGAGCAGTACTGATTGGGGCCTTAGCCTTATCCAGTAGATCAGTCACAGGCAGTTACTGTAAAGATCAAGACCAAACATTGCAGGGAAGCCCAAAGAGCATGTGATCCCAAGGTGGTGAGGTCACCCTGTGTCCTGGGAATACAATAAGGGGATACAGCAAGAGAAGCCACACACGATGACTCTCCGGGCTGAGATGCTGGCAGGGTGGGTGGGAGGCTGTAGTGTGGTGAGCTGAGGGATTTATGCAAACAAAATGCACATATTTTTCATGATCTGGCTTCCTGGTTTCTGTTCCGGACTCCCCACAGGCCCTCAATGTTGGTGATGAGCACTATTCCTGACAGCTAGGGTGTGGCATGGTTTTCTCAGCTGAACTTCTAGTATCAAAAGGCACAGTACCCAGATTCATTGGAGTTCAGAGTGCCCATCAGGGAAATCCTTTAAGAAATCCATATTGGCAGAGCTGAGTGTGTAGCTCTGTGATACAATGGTTGTCCAGCATGTGTGAGGCTCTGGGTCCCATCCCTTGCATTGCAAATTAAAATTTAAAAAATAAAAATAGAAAAAGAATCCAGGTTGGTAATGGGCACACCTTTGTGAGGTACCCTGGTCAAGGAAGCCACAAAAATACCTACCATTGATCCCAGCCTTGGAAAACTCAATCTTCTCACAAAAGGTTTCAGTGTTCCAAAACAGCCCCTAAAGGTACAGTAGGTCAGACCCAGACCAAACCAAAAAAAAAA